GGTAATATGGAATTCAGTTGTCTTCACTTGACCATAATTACTTCCAGATTTTGGTTTCCTATCTTTGTCTTTTGGTCATTTTTCTCATTCCACCTCAGACCAGAAGTCCTGGTGTTTCTTTACATTTATGGTTATTTACTCAGATTTCATTGCCACCCACCCCCTTTCACCTTTGCTTTTTGCAGACTCTTGACATTTTGCCACAGTATCCTAGCTCTTCCTCAAAACATGTTTTCTCCTCAGCTTGGTAACAACATGATAGCAATTCTGAGATAAAATGTTGCATTCAGATTATTTGCAATGGGCCAAATATCTTTAAAGAAAGAAGGCCAAAAAGAAACATCAGTCATCACAACATCTGTTCTCTCTTATGTTTTACTTAAGAAAATAATATGTGCCAGGTTTTTTCCACCCACCCAGAATAATTATCATTTTTAAAAATGATGCATTTGTAACAGCTTCAGTTTGGTCCAAAACCTTTAGTACAATTTGTAATTAATTTATTTCTTGGCTTAGGCTGTGTTTTGGAGGTTTTTTTGCAAGAAGGTAACTGAAGTAACCATTTGTTTTTCCTAACATTATTACAAAACTAAACTATCCATGTTGAAATTACTGTTGTTTTCACTGCCTCACTTGTTATTGCAAATACTAATAACATCTCAATATTCCTTTAACAACAAGTATTGTACTAGTATGGTTCATTTATGCTCCTTCGACTCAGTTGAGGCATGCAATAAAAAACAATGTATAAGGCTGTCCTATACTGGCTGTGTTTTCAGGTGATACAAATTATGGCATAGCTTGAAGGTTCCGGCTCCCAGAAAAGAAATTGCGACTGCTTTGCTCCTTATTGGCCCTTTTTGCTTGGCTCTACTTCAAGAATCATCATGTTCACACACTCCCAGTAAGACATAGTTTTGCTTACCATGATGTGCAAACCAGGCCACTAAGTGTGGGTGGGGCTGCGTTGCTCTGCTGGCTTCCCAACACCACACATTGCTGCTGTTTGCTGAGAGAGAGGGGCAAGACAGCAGGGGGACTGTTGGAGCCACACCAAGCTTCCTGCTGCCTTGCCTTTTCGCCCTCAGTAACTGGCAGTGACGTGGGCTGTTGGGAAGACAGAAGAGTAATGCAGCACTTCCGCACTGTCACTCTTTTCAGGTGGATTGAGTCACATACTGGTAAATTCAGGTTGTACAATCATAGTTCGTCGTGAGGTTTTGCACAACCCATCTGCTTCCTGGAAAGATCACTAAGAAGTACTAAGAAAAGTGATAGGAAAATGCACTGGAAAGTGTGGGACAGATAACACTTGCTGTGAAGCAAAGTCATCTAACCTGCCCACAAACAAATCAAAATTGATACTCATCTCCTGATAGTGTCATAACCATATGCCACAGTGAGAGATAGGTAAGCATTGGCTGCCTATTCCTTTCTTTTTCACCAAAACTCAATTCACTACATGGTCCTTCAGACTTTCTTAACTGGTGCCAATGGGGAATTTCCTCCCAATGCAAATAGGAGCTTCAGATGGGGGGTTTTCCTCAGGACTTCCTAATCAGCTGCTACTCTGGCAATTAACAACTTCCTCCACTATATGCTATTTTTAAATGTTCTGTTAAATGCAAATACATATTTAATGCTGTGTCTAGATTCACCCAGCCTTCAAATACATTTTTCAGTCACACAAACAATTCCTAAAATAAAATAAAAAATCGGGTATCTGGGGGTGGAGTTATTTGTGCCGGGGGAAAGAGTGGTGGAGACCATGGTTTTGGGCACATCCAGGACACAGACCAGCAGCTTGGGTTGGTGGGTTTATAGTGGGTCCAGAGTGCCAGCCAGGGTGGATGTACAATATCCCCTCCCCCCCCAAAAAACCCCTGTGATAGCAAAACAGCTTTCCTCATGCACTGATATTGACTTGAAAATGAAAGGGCGAAACCTGTTTTCTTAGGGAGGCAGATTGGTTGAGAACCATACCAACAGTAAAACACAGATTTTTAGTGGATCTGGGCCTCTAAGAAAAAAGAGTAAGTGGGGTAGGGGAGAGAACTATGGAGATAAGGCTGAGTTGAACAGTTCCAGGAGTGTAGTAGTAACAGGAGGAAGAAAGACTCGTATCACAACCTTAGGCTTTTATTCAGAAGCAAATCCCTTGTTGTTCAATGGGTCTTTTCCCCACTGAATAAGGGTACCTAAGAATGTGACCTCATTGGTAATGTGTAGGCAGATACAACCTAGCAACACATAGTGTGAGTAAACAGAAGAAAGACAGACCCACTAAAGTGTATTTATTTGATATTAAATACATAAATCAGCTTATAACTTCATATCCTTTTTCGCACACTTTGAAGCAAGCCTCTGTTTTGAATACCCGCGTTTACTTTTAGTATGGGTCTGTTCTGCAAAATGAATATGATTATTGTAATTCATGGCATTAACCGAGACCAAGCTCTACTGCTCCATGCTGCACAACCCAATTAAGAGCAACAGAAACAGCTAAATTTAACAGGTCCAGTGACATGATAATGGGTTCAAAGGAGCAATGCCCGACATCTCACATCAATGGCAGTTGGCACATTGTTTTTTAATAATACTGTTTAAATATGCATTACAGAATTAAAAGCCTCTGTTGGAATAATGAGTAGGGTTTGACTTAGATTTATAAAAGTACGTAAAAAGCGACCTGTAAATACAGCCAAGGATGTATATTCTTGTATCCCTCTCCCCATCTCCCCCATCTCTTCTTATAAACCCAGCCATAGTAGCTCAGCAGAATAATGCTGAATTTTCTCTACAATTCTCATACCTGCTAGATAGGTCTCATTACCATCAAAGTACTTATTTATTTCTGACAGTTTTGTCTAACCCTTCTCTTGAGGAGTTCAGGACAGTGAACACTGTGACCCACCCTTTTACTCCTCACATCCCTGTGGAGGATGAACCTTGAACACTCAAGTCCCTGTTGAATTTACCAACCCCAGCGATCAGGATCCTCTGGCAACACATTGGAGAAGATGTTGGACTTTCCATCTCTGCCCACTGAGCTTGTAAAAAAAGACACAACTGTTTTGCGGTGATAGGACAGCCATGTTTTGCCTTGGCTGGGTGTGGGGATGGGCAGTGCTCACTTGGGGTGAGTGCATTGTGCAGGTATGGGAGATATTGGATTATGACCACTAATCAGGTGGGAGCTAGGAATGGGGGCTGATGACTAGGGTGAGAGTGTACTTCCTCAGCCATACATGATACCTCTACGTAAATGTGAATATTTTAATGAACTTCATGCCAATTTTGTTGGAGTGGGTGGAGTGTGAGATTAAATTTGGTTTTAGTATTAGCCTGTCAATGTTTTAAAGCCTTGTTTTGTATATTACCTGTGGGTGAATGTGTTCAAGTTTAGGATGGCTGATGTACAAGTGTGCAGTTTGTGTGGGTATTGAATGAGTGGGAACTTATCGGATGTGGGGAACCCTATTTTATAGAGTTGATGCATTATATATGATATTATTTAATTTTGGCCTTCTTTGTAAGCCGCTTTGCAGTCTTTTCTGATGACAAGCAACATACATATACTTGAAATAAAGTAAGTTATAGTGACAGGCTTAAGGACATCCAGTGAGCCTCATGGCTAGGTGGGAAATTAAACCCAGTATATCCATTATGCCACATTAACCCTTAGGTGCAAGTCACTACCAGGGATGGTCACTTTATTTTTGTGATAAAGGTGATAACATTTAGAATTATAGGGAATCATGCTAATTATATGCTGCATTGAATAAATTAATATGCTATATTAATTTATTATCTATATGGGACCATCAGGAGGCAATTGTAGTCTGTTAAATTTGAGCAGTGCCATAAGAGATTCTGTGGCAGTTTTTCTTCTTTATACAAAGGATGACCCTAGCCAAATTTTAGTCAACTCTGCCATTCTGATTTGGCAATATTTTACCCTCATTCTCATTTTCTGTTTCAAATGATGTACAGGGGCCCTATGCAAGACTGTGCAGTATCATCTACTAACTCAGTTCTCAATTCCAGCTGTTTGATGTTGGACCACATTGTCAGACCAATACTGGCTCAGTACTGTTACTGGAAGTAGGGTTATACAGGGAATTATCTTTGTTACTAGCATTAACCATTGATCATTCCCCCAACTCCGTCTGAAGGAATTCTCTATTGGAAGGTTTGCCCAGTCCACATCCAGTTTAAAAATTAAAAACCATAAAAAGTGAGAGCAAGGTCCCAAACATTGCCAGTCAGCAGTTAGAACTTGGACAGCAGGCACGCATGTTATCTGGTCACAGTCTTCCCTACTGTAGTGAGATGTACAGTGGACACTTGGGTTGCGAACATGATCCATGTGGGAGGCACGTTCGCAGCCTGCAGTGTTCGCAACCCGCACTACCGCATCTGTGCACGCAGGGGTCACGATTCAGCGCTTCTGCGCATGTGCAAAGCGCGATTTAGTGCTTCTGCGCATGCGTGAGCACCGAAACCCAGAAGTAACCCATTCCAATACTTCTGGGTTCAGCGTGGTGTGCAACCCAAAAACACGCAACCTGAAGCGTCTGTAACCAGAGGTATGACTGTATTGCATTTCTATTTAAATTATATTTATTGCTACATCTGTATCTACACATATAATTTAGCGTATGGAAATGTTGTGTGGTTCTGTGCTCCCTTTTTAGCTGATGTATAAGTGGCCCTCTTGCAAACAGTACAGTGGTGCAACTAGTAAGCACTTGGCAGGGCATACTATGTTATGTAGTCTTATCAGTACCATCCCTTTGTGAAGCCCCACCCCCAACATGTGAACGGGGGCACTTTTCACAGTCAGTTTCATCCAACACACACACATTTTTTTCTCTTTTCTTTTTGCTAGAAGTGTGAGAAATCAGGCCCACACATGATACTTGACTGTCTTCTTGAAAATTTCCAAGGAATGTGATTCTACAACCTCCCTAAGAAGGAAATTGCAATGCACTTAGATATCCCGGTATAACTGTGAACCATATTGCTTTTAAAGATATAAACCTAGCCCTTACCTGTCTTTACCTGTCACCATTACCTGACTTTACCTACTAGAGAAGATCTGATAAAACTATATTGGTAGTTGTATTTTTGTTGCTGCTGTTGTTGTTGTTGCCTGTGTTTTATAAAGGAAAAAGTACAAAAGGAAGTTTCCCTATTAGACCTAAATGTACATTTCTGAAACATTGTTACATGACTTAATTTGAAGGAGGGCTCCTCACTAGAAACTGTTTTTAATTATTGCTTACCACACTGTAATGTGTGATTAGTATTAATAATGCCTCTAGGCACACTTGGAGTCCTTTTTCTAACTAGAGAGCCAGTGTGGTGTAGTGGTTAAGAGCGGTAGTCTCGTAATCTGGTGAACTGAGTTCGCGTCTCCGCTCCTCCACATGCAGCTGCTGGGTGACCTTGGGCTAGTCACACTTCTTTGAAGTCTCTCAGCCCCACTCACCTTTGTTTGTTGTTGGGGAGGAAGGGAAAGGAGAATGTTAGCCGCTTTGAGATCCTTCGGGTAGTGATAAAGCGGGATATCAAATCCAAACTCTAACCGGGGAATAAGCACACCCCACCCCACAGTTCTGGAATTAGAGTTAGGGCTTCAACTTAGGGTGTGGGAATTTCATCTGAGGTATCAGTTGTTCCAATATATTGCTTAGAGAGCTTGCCTTTGCTGTCTTAGGTACAAGACTGCTGTGGTCCAGAACTAGCACCTTGCTCCCTTGTCCAGGGGCCTTGGCTTGCCTTCCAGTCTATGCTAGAACTTTGGGCCAAATAGTCTCCATCTCGGTTGGGCCATCGCTTCCCCTTGGTGATGGACATCACATCTGGTCAGGACACCTGTCTGTTCTGTACCCACAGAGTAGAGGGGACAATAGATTCCATCTAATTTCTGAAATCGTTCAGAACACTTTCAAATGTCAGTATATAAGGGACGGGCTGCAACTCATAGGAGAACTTAAGCTGGGCCAAATATCCACACAAAATACACACAAACACAAAAGCACATTTGCAAGACCATCCATCCACTGTGAAACTGGGTAGGGGTGAGGAGGCGAGGGATTTGATGAGTTTGGGAGGTGGGCAAAAATTCAGAATTTTCTCCTTCCAGTAAATATGAGATGGTGAATGGCTGTCACTCTCATGGGACATTCAATCCAAAGAACATGGTTGGGCTGCTGACAGTGACAGCAAAGCTCACTTTTGTTATTGAAAAGGCAGAAAGAAATCCTAAACTACCACCTCATCTATAAAAAAAGATTAAGGGTTGCATCCAAAGTCAGTATCCAGTGTTGGTAATAATAAGAACAGACACATTGAAATTAATGGGCAAGACTAATGTATATCCATTAATTCCAATGGGTCTATTCTGAGTATGACTAAAGTTGGATACAACACAATAATTCTGAAAATTCACCCAACCCTCCAAAGATTAATCCATTCTTCAGAGTTTGCTATCACCCCACCCTCAGAATTTTCAAAAGTCACTAAGCCAGTACAGTGGTACTTCTAGTTACGAATTTAACTTCGTTCCGGAGGTTCGTTCTTAACCTGAAACTGTTCTTAACTAGAGGCGTTCTCAACTCAAGGTAACTCTTCGAGGTTAGCGGAGTTTGTAACCTGAAGTATATGTAACCTGAGGCATTTGTAACTCGAGGTACCACTGTAATAAGTCCAATTCTTGCCTTGATTTTTTTTAAAAACAAACCCTCAGAGGGTAACAAGGTTGGGAAAAATCTCTGTTGAAACAAAATAGATAATACTGAGGTAGCTAGACCAATGGTCTGACTCACTATACGGCAACTTCCTATGGTCTTAAAACTGTCAGCCTATTCTTCTTTAAATTATCTACTTTTTTGTTTTTGGCTTTTTTGCTATAAGATGTCTACTTGCTCCCGCATATAATTTTCCCTTCTAGACCTTTTGTCATCTCGCAATCCTTTCCAACACGTCATCCTGCTTCTTCTTAAAGTGAAGCTTGTAGAACTGAAGACAGGCTCTGTAAATGAGGATGTACCAGTAGAGTGCTACTATTACTACTTCCTAAGTCATCGAAATATTCTAACAGTATTTGGGGGTGGGGAGAGAGAGCAGACCATGTCCCTGTAATGTTATCTGCAAAGTGCCTCGCTATGTGTGTGGTTTCAATATGGTAATAATCATTATGTTTTACTGTCAGGGTTTTTTTCCCCCTTTTGGTAAGTTAGTCAGACAAATACTGGATCCTTTCCAGAAACCTCCCTTTCCAGCTGAGTCTTTTCTCTCACGCACCACGAGTAGAAATTGTGTGGATTTCTTTTTTAACCTAGATAATGGAATGTATATTATTTCTGTGAATATAGTACTGGCTGCTCCCTTCCGATCCCCACCCCCAAACCCCATTATCCAGGGCACACACCATTATTACCGTTAACCCTCAACCCAATCCCTTAAAGAGTGCGATTTCTATAATGCAAAGCT